GAAACAACAACAATAACAGAGTCGAGCAAGCGAAAGAAGCCAGTCCAGACACTGTTATTGTTGTTGTTTCTGTTCTGCAGACTGACTGTGCATAAAGCAGAGCATCGATCCACTCTCCACACACCCGCCCCTACCCAGTATTATCTTCTTTAATCCTAAAATTAACTACATTTTTGTTCTTCACCGTCCCTTCCCAGTTGCCTCAAACGCTATGCGCTGTATATAGTTTCCATAATCTATCTTGTGTAGCTTCATTCCGTTCTCTCATCTTAGACCAAAACGTGCATCAACATTCCGATCAACCCATCTGGCTACGGTTAGTTCATGTGACCTTTGCTCTCTCATCCCATCCACGACTCTAATATTGACTATCGCTAGCCCTATGGCATTCGCTCGTTGTGTTTGCTGACTGGTGTCATCATCATAAACTGAGCTGCGAACGAGACGGTGAATGTTTGGATTGGCCCATTCGGTTTTCACCGGTGTGGGTTTCGCTCCCTGGGAGCCTGTTGACTGCGGATCAGTTAAATGCATTCGAATGCGGCAGCGATTTTGTGAATACGCACTGATACGCTCTGCTGACAAGTCCCAAACAGGACGAAACAGCTATCCAGTGCTCTTTGTCAACCATTACAAATATTTCCGTCGCACTCAAATTAGTTGTAGTTAGCTAATCAGATACCTGTACTACGACTGGCTTTATATTTGCAACCGCCTAATGCGAAATATCAGACGGAAAGTTCTTTATCTACAGGAATTCTCTTCAAAAAATAATTTATTTCATGACGTAAACTGAATATATTCTCTCCGGTGAAAATTTATAGCATTCCCGAGGGTTAAATATTATTTTATCTGCCTCATGGGCGGTTTTCGTTCATTTTATAACACAAAAGTCCACCGAAACACCTTTTATTCTGTTGAAAATACATCACACCTCATGGTTAAGGCAAGGTGAAATTGATTCAAAAACGGATGTACTGATAATCACGGCTATGTGCTTCCACATGGAGACTTGTAAATGTTGTAATTAAATAGCTAGGAGACTGGTATAAGCTATGGTGATGTAACACCATAGGATAGATGCTCACATCATTTGCAATGACCTTAAAGGAACAAACCTTCAAGTGGGTTAGTACAGGTCATTACGAGCATGACGTGTTGGAAAAGCATCACGGATATTGATAAATCCAGGATCGATGCCTCTCACGGGACCAATTTCTCTCTTGTGCGATAGTGCAACAGATTCATATCTTTCATGGTACACCATGTGAGAGGGAAACTACTACACCCAGGTCAAAACACACTGAAAAGATCGGGGCAGAAGATGAACTCAGTTTTATGTGTGTGGGTGGCCTCAAGTGCCATGATGCAAAAGATGCTTGAGTGGAGAGTTTGGTCCGAACATTACAACACACATTCAAAATGGACCCTTGGATAAAAGGCACGAAGATGAGAGGGAGAGTGCATAGCTCTCAAAGCATAAAGAACAGAACAGTGCTTGTTGACTGTTCGACATACACAAATGCCGTGAACCAAAGGAAATGCTATCTGCTTAAGCGACGAAAGTTAGTCAATTAAAATGGACCTTGCGAGTGGAATGGCTGCTGATGGGGTTTACTAAAAGATGAGAGGTAATTCGGTTAGCGGATTCACGTCAGAAATTTAGCCATGGCGTGAGCTGTCTGCTAGATAAACGCCGCTGTCAAACTCGATGTATTACTTGAGAATGCACAAATCCGATGCAAATTGGAGCGAAAACGATCGCCTTGAGGTGGCGGCGAAAGTCACAGGAATTCACTTTTTAAACACGCAATTTCAGTGATTCACGAATGGTGTTTAATCCCTGCGATCGGTCTGGAGTTCAAATCCCTTACGGGACGGTAGATATCCACTACTAATTGGCTCTAAGAAGAGCCAAACTCAACTCTAGTGCATCTGAGTGTATGTTTGATCGGAAGAGCTAAGGACTGTGAGTGAGTTCTAAAAGATGGTCAGTTCCAATCAATCAATCAATCAATCAATCAATCAATCAATCAATCAATCAATCAATCAATCAATCAATTTCACACAACTGCTCACGAGTAACTATGCGTTAAATGTGAATTAATAAAATACACAAAATAAACACAAACTGGAGGCATCCCAGACTAGAAAGCGGAATAGTGTTTCCACAGAAATCATCGAACATTCCATGCGGAGCGGACCTTGAAGATATGCGGAAATTACAAGCGGAACGGCTGATGCATCTGATTTTAAACTGACTGCAAAGGACAAAGTCCAGAGATGTAATACTTCTATCACGCGGTGAAAACTTCGTTAGAAAATATGTGGTTTAACGAAATTTGGTATCCTGATTTGTAATTTGACTGCTGACCTTTTATGTATACTATTGCGTCTATGAGAAACTGAAAGGTGCTACTCACAGAGATATAAGTAGTCCACAAGTCTATGCTTTTGGTCTGGCTTTCTTAATCATGGCAAACCAGCCAGGTGCTGTAGTGAATTCACATTAATGTAAATGCAAGAATGAATGCAAGAAAACAAGAATATTATGCACGGAGATATAGGTGGAGAATATAATTATTTACTCACTGAGTGCTTAGGTCACTTGTAGAAGTTGGCGAGGGTAGCTCAAAATCCAGTGGTGCTTGAGGCTGGAGTTGCCGGCTCTTGGAGACCATGGGAAGCAAATTGTACGGAGGACTGGGACTTTTCAGTGCACGTTTCTTTTGCAATTCCCGATTCGCTTGTAATCGTTTTCGAGCGTACTCTTTGATCAAAACCTGATGGATTAGGTGTAGTCGTGCAGAGTGAAAAGGGGTGAGAGTTGGAAATTTACCGAGATGGAATGCGGAACATGAGATGATATGGGCAGTTCCAGTCTCGGCATTCCTATATTTAGCCAGAAATAAGTCAATATTTTCGTCATTTGATCCCGTTTATGTCAATAAAAAAACAGTGGTGACAGTATCGAATTAGTCTATTTTTTATTCACATGAGATCAGTTTATTACTGAATGAATTCAGATATTCGGAAAGTGGTCTTGCAGAGAAATCAATGTCTTACATCATCAAAAAAGGTGTGTGCGTGAGTGTGAGTTTTGATTAAAAGTGAGTTATAGTGAGCTGCGTAACGTAATATTACACAGGACCAGTTTGGTTTCTGCTATCGACAAATTAAATATACGAGAAAAGACACTATTTTCACCGGGATTTATTTTGTTGTTGTTGTTTTGTTGATTGCAAACCATGCATAAACTTGTGGTTTGGGCAGTCTGACTATATTTGTTTTGTCCGATGTACGATTTGTCCGATTAAGATTAGGAATACAATATGCCTGTTCTTTCAAATTTGTTACTCAAATGGTAAGCCACCGTGAAATGAACTGTAGCATTTTGGGGAAATCTCGTTTATAGGTTCCGATGCATGTGGCGTAAGAATGGGCCTTGTCATTTACGTTCATCTGTCCCTCGTGAAGTGAATGTCTAATATTTGAATATGTAACATGATATCTTTCGGTATAGTAGGGTTTGGAAAATGCCGAAAATCAAGATGTTCCTGCTGGTAATTACTGCGTGAGAGAAAAACCCGTGGTGGCGAAACAAGCGCACTTGTGGTGATTCACTTACAGGCTAAAATGGCACGTTTATGTTGTCACGTTTTGTATGGGGGGAATTGTTTCGCATTATACAAGCGATATGTTGATTAAATTTTGCGATTTATCGATAATGGTGTGCATTCCACCATAATATTGAAATTATTGAAATCAAACATGTATTTCACTTTAGAGAACGAAAAGAATAAGGAGCTGGCATTTTTGTTAGTTCTACGGAGTTGTGGACCAGACAGAACCATCCAACGCATTTTTTTGCAGGAAGGCATCGGGGAATGATCAGTGTATTCATTTCAGAAGCTATGTGACATTCACTGGGACAGAAAAGAAATCTGCTTCAGTACCTCGCTTATAGAGCGCGGAGAACATGTACTGATGATACCATAGAAACAGAAGTGAGATTTATCCGAGAGGTTTTTTCCTTCAGAAGGATTCATGGACAATATTTTGAGGCATCACCGGTTGCCAAATAAGATAACTTCTGATGAAAGAAAATCAGCTTACAAATCACTAATTATTGAGGGCGACCTAAATGCCGAGATGATGACAGGTAAACCGAGTACCGCTGTGAAAAAAGCATTTCGGGCAACGAAATTTCGCATCCCCTCACCACTTTTACCGTTTCATCTCAGAGATAAATCGTCTTTTTCTGCAGTCTCCTTTTGCATGTACTGGTTTACCTGTTCCTATGGAACAAGCTATATTGACCGAACAGGCAGACGTTTATCTGAACGAGTCCGTGAGCACCATCATCAACAATTCTATCGTTTTACACCCAGTGGAGTCAAACTATGGGGTTGATGTGGCCAAGCCTTTTCGACCCCTCTACTTGGTACCCTGTCTTTGATCTAAGAGCCTTAGTGGTTGCATTCTGGCCAGAGCGGAAGCAATCGAAATTCGCTAACATAATCCCCCCTCTCTATGCTCCCAAAAAACATTTGTAAGAAAACTTGGTCTTCCATGATCAACACATGCAACACAGTCATCCTCTCACGCGTCCTTAATGATCCAAACCAACGTGTGCGTGAGTCATGACCAAAGGGCGAACATTATCCGGTCGTACAACTGGTATTTTGATCAATTTTCTTCACGGTTTCTCTCCCCCTAAAAAACATCTTGGCAAATTGTGGTGCATCAACCTGTAGGTGAACCATAGCAAACGAGCATGTTCGTTACTGTGTTTTCCCAACAATCTGTATTGATGACATTTTCGAATGTATTTAGGTTTGTATGCTATGTTGCAGATAAGTGCTGGGGAAAAGTTACGGTTGACATTTGAAACTGTAACTTGTAAGTCAAACGACTGTCATCAAAACTGTGTTGAATAGTTGTGACCAGACTGAGGTCCTGTTTTCACACGAAGTTCATAAAGTATATTTTCATTTTCAACTGACTGTCATTTGTGAGTATTGGTGTGGTATAGATTGTTACTAAGTTTTACTGACTTACAGACAATCAACAATTCATCTTGTCAGCCATATACTCAAAACCACTGAACTGTAAATTTGTTTTAGCAACTGCTCATCACTAACTTGTATCTAGTGGTTCTTTGAGAGTTCAAACCCCGTATCCCACGCGTCGTTGAGTTAACTAGCTCACATCGGGGCTGATCAGAATCAGACATTGCCTTTTCGACGTAGCTGGTCAAACCATTTGGTCAGACAATCAAGAGAAGAGATGTAGTACACCACTTGTCAACTCCAATATCTATTGATGATCTATAGCAACCGAGCGAAAGTTTAGTCTCTGGGGCTTTTCAAGTGTACAATTGATCAGAAAGAAAACCACAGATCTGTGAGTTAAGGTGAAAGGTGAAAACTAGTCTGTCGAATGGATGACAATCGTTATTTCCTGGAAGTAATCTAATTAACCGCGTTTCACCAGTTCACATTGAGTGTTGTGATCTGATCGTTCTTTCACATTCCACTCCATCACAATTTGTCCCGCTCCGAAATGGGGAATGTGGCTGTGTTTTATTTCACAACATACAATAGTCAATAAATTAAGCTTACTTCAGCATCTGGATGATCCTGAAGGGCTTCCAGCACGTCTCCTCGAGAGAGTACAAACAGATCTGCATAACCCACGGCTCGAACATCAGCGGTTCGCCTGAAATAGATGACAGTGGTACTCTGGTTTACTGGCAAATTACGTCATAAATAGAAATAATCTATTCACTCCTCAACAGCAAGCGGAAGAAGGTAATAAGTTAACGGAATCGCGTAACGCTAAAAAACAAATAGCAATGTTTAAATATAGTCAATTTAGTCGAGGTACCTGATTTGGTCTATGCGCATTCAGTGAATCACGATACATGGGTACTGATCTTATAGGTAGCAGTTAGTTTGTTATAGTGCTCTTCAAATGGATACATATGAATGCCACCTATTTGCGAAAGACCATGAAGTTCATCCGAAATTCATATCCAAAATTTGGAACACAGTAAGGCAACCAACGGGCTCGCTGACATTCCAGGAAAAGCTGAAAGCAGCACATCCCTGGTCTCTTTTGAATTACATGGAATTCAATGTGCCAAAGTGTAAGGTTCTATCACTACGACACAAGGGGCTATATTCCTATTTCCTCGGAAACGAACAACTGCCACACACCTCAAGTGAGAAAGACCTGAGGATCATCATTTAAGAAAACCTAAGCTGCTCACTCAGCTGCGCCAGGGTGTCAAAAGCAGCTGTGAAGAATATCGGTTTGCTTAAGCGTGTCTTTGGCCGGTTTGAGTCAGCGCTTTTACCCCGTCTAATATCAGCATACATTCGCCCAATTACAGAGTACGCTATCCAGGTATGAAATCCATGGCTACTGCGTGATTGCAAAATGCAAAATGGATCATCCACAAAGGATGGTCATCAAATTGATTAGGGGATTGAATCGTTATTGAAACGCAGAAAGATTGAAGTCGCCGGGGTGGTTATATTCCAATCACTACCGGCGCATCAGAGGAGACATGATTATGGTATACCAAATAATGCAAAACCCAAGCCATCCGTGTCCCCCGTTGCTAAAAGTATCACGCAACATTCATCTTGGAGGACATTTGTTAGAACTAGTAGTTTCAAAATACCGATTGGAATGCCGGCGTCAGTCATTCGCAGTCAGAGTGTGTTTGATCTGGAACTCTCTCGCACCTCAAGTCGTCTGTGCGCCAAACATTGGACCGTTCAGACTGAGACTTGGTTTAGTGTTAGCACGCCATTCATTCCAACATAAGTGAAGCTGTGTACGGCAGTGGTAGAATCCCGTATCATATGATATTTTACACAAGGAATTGAATGTATCACTGTCTTTTAACCACAACACGAACTTATGGGATGAGAAAAGCATGAGCTTGTAAATTATTCCCATAACAAATCTTTGAAACCTTGGAACTTAGGTTGATTGCATACAATCTCAGCGTGTTGAAGTACCACTCAGAGGATAGAGTATTTTTCTTGGAGAGAAATATGCGATTTCCATATGCTCTTTATCACCTGGAAAAGCATGCCAGTTTTGGAAACTGTCTTCAAACATAAAACCAGGAAGCGATAATTATGTGAGAGATGTATCTGCAAAAGATGAATTATCTAATCAAACAGGTAAAATAGTGACTCACTTATTTGCCCCATCGCGATTAAGAATTCCGATCTCTCCAAAAAAGTCACCGCTGCTCATCATGGAAATAACTTCATCATTTGGACTGTAAGAAAGACGATCACTTGGATTAACTTCACACAGCCAGTTCTTATCAGTTCGAGTCCACACAAATGTGAAACATTAGCGTCACCTTCACGGTGCATATATCACTTATTCAATTATAGTTCGGACCGCCTGAATTTGAGAAGGGGGTACGTTTTGGGTTGACTACTGAACCACTGCATGAATGCAGATGTGTTGATAAAAATAGACGTGGCTAAGCTTTTAAATGTTTACATTTAACGTGCAAGCTGATTCCCGGTTTGTACGAACTGTTATGCGAGGTAGAAGAAGCGGCGGCATCACGGAGATTCAGTCTACGATATCCTGCTTCATCAGTGTGTTGAACTGTCTTGATGAGTTCCGTTGGATTTCAGTAAACAGCGTGAATGTAATGGATACGTATGCACGACGAATATTGCTCCGCATCTAGACGTGAGAATCTGAATAATTATACTAGAGAACGTCATTCCCCAGTTTTTCGAAATTCATACAACCAGATCAGTAAAATCTTCTGAGTTCAAAGGAACGGATAAATTAAGGCTTATGGACGTGACAAGGAAGCATTTGACAATACTAATGTGACAACCATCACTAGTCGTAAATGTGGGATCTTAGAATGTTCTTCCCTGTTGACCAGCAGTTGGCTAAAGTCTTTAACAATAAATTACCTGATAGTGACTGTGAAAATGGCAGATTAATTTACAGAAACAGTTTTGGGGTGGGAAATGTTGGAAATCAAGTGCAGATTTGAAATTAAACGCCACGGCTGGCCTAACAATTGCTCTGTATTGGATTTTTGGTTTTGGTACAAGTCTGCCGTTGAGAGAGCTTCGACTTAATTTCCAATACATTAATCCACAGATATATGAACCGGGGAAGTGATTTAAACTGCTTACGTTTTCGTTTCTAAAACCTTGTGTCATAATATTTTATTATTGTTCACTGTAAAGTAATTTAGACGAATGTGAGAATTCAACTAGAAAAAGCGTATTCAACTATGCACCCAATCAACCATCGAGAGCGAGTGATGATCAACGGGTGATCAATGATGGGGGTTGAGTGAACTGGCCCAGGACTTACCCAAGCACCTCCAAGACACCGTCAGCAATGATAAACATTTCCCGAGCGATTTCACCCTTTCGACACACAAAATCCCCCGGGGTGAAAATAAGCGGACGCATTTTCAATACTAGGTCTTGCAAAAACTCCGGCCGACATTCTTTGAAAATTGTGACCTTTTGAGAGAGAAATTGGAGAATCCACGTGAAGAGGTGAGCTCGAACTGATCGAAATCAAATAGGCACAAATAGATACAATCTTGCGCAACTACACTCATCTACCTGTTTTGAGAAGACCAAGGCATAACTGTAGGGTTTTGGAAGAATTTCCAACTTTAAATCTCTTGCCTGAAATCAATATCTAAACACTTCCGTGGTTTTATTACTAGATTTACCCTATTGAGTTTGTGCACTGGGCCCACCACGGAAATGTAAAAATTAAACATCTGAGCATCCATATTTGATATGTTCATTAGAGGTAGAAACAGCAGTGTGTGCAGTTTGATAGGTTTGATTGATCGGTTTATATGCATGAGCAACAGACTGAGCACAATGATAAAATGCAAAACATCGCATTATCATTTCTCTGCTCCGCCCGTTGAGAATGTGGCCGACAAAATCAGAGCAACTCACTCTTTTCAAGGTGGCCAGATTCACATTGACGGCCAGTTCCGACTTGAGTTTATCCGGGAGCATTTTGAGAGCATTCACATCACCAACACCGTCCATTCGCCGCCTGACCACAAAGAGCGAAACAGATGGATAACGGGTGACAGTTGAGTGCACGGAAACAAAGTACAAAATATTGCCATGCAGAAGCTAATGACACTACTGTATATTGTTTACCCAAAGGAATCCATTCCATTTCGGACTGTAGCACAAGGTATAATAATCGAAAGTGAGAGTCATTCTGATCATTCAGATTCGCCTTCATAAGGACATCGACAGTATATGACATGTGACATTTTTCTATCAGCGTGTGCAGACATACTGTACTTCACCAGAGACAGACTTCCGGGTGGCAGTATTCCTGGCGGAGAACCACTAGAAATGGACAGGAAACCAAACCCTACTACGTATGAATTGGTTCATGTGACGTGTAGCAAACCACTGAAGGTTTGAGAGGATAGTCAATAGGGGTTCCGCTACCGGATTAGAAACCCTAGTTGATCGGAGTACGAACTCCCCNCCCCCCCCCCCCAGTGGATTCCATAGAGGTGCAGTCCCGATAGATCTCATCAATTCGTCTGAGTTAACATCGAAAAGTGAATAAAACTTTCGAAATAACCATTCTGATCAGCTGATTAAAAAAAAACATGGCTAGCCGAAATCTTGCGGGACAACGAGAGAATCTTACAAGCGCTTCAGAATGTTATGAACCTTTTTTAGTATCAGTTGTAAAATACTCTCATTCAGTGTTCTTCACCAGTAAGTAGGTCATTCACACTCGGGTTCCGCGTCGCTGGATTTGTTCCAGGTTTGATGAATACGGTGTACAACACGAATCGATAGTTTTCCACGAATGCAAAGGATTTTTGTGTGCTCATTTTGATTTAGAACATGGAGGTCTTACTCATTTGCTTGAAATCAATTTATTGAACATCGGGATTTTAACGTGGACAATGATAATATTCGCAAAAACAAAAACTCAATGTTAAATCCGTAAAGGGTTTTATCAGTCGTTGTATTTCTCGCTGGCTTAAGAATGAGTGCTTTCTCAAACTAACTATGGTTCTTTTTTTAACATTCAGAACGATGTTTTGATCATAATAAAGAAAATATGAACCTGACAGGGATATTCGGGATTTTCGTCCCCAGTCTTGACCAGATCATTCAAGAATGCCTTCGTGCCTGACGAGAACTAAATGACCGCAAAACTGACAATAAAGCAAAGGCAAGGTGCTCAGATAATGCTGTGTTTAATTTGTTTGGTTTCGTGCATAAATAAGGTATGCATTCGTAATAATAATGATAATAATATTAATAATAATAATAACAATAATCCATACATAATTGTGCGGCTGCGTTGTTTGTTATGGTATTTCAGTTCCGGTTTCCCATTAGTTGACATCAAATACGAGACAAACACATTGTTAGCAATTAAACAGCTTCTTCTTGGGATTCCGCTTCACTTGACGGATTTGATTCACATAATGACTTAATTTAAATATTAACCACGAATGGTTCTTCGCTTTCCATTCCGCTTCTGCGGTCTGTTTGAATTCATCTACCACTCTCCAATACCACCCGGCACTTTCTGAATTCCACTAAGGTTTGACGGACAGTCGAGAGACTATACGGACAGATTTATTGGAAAATTGATAGTTAGGTAGAAACGACAAGCTTTCAGCATTTCTAGCTGATTTGGAGATTTTTTGAAATCAGAAAGCCTGTAAAAACTGGCTACTCAAAAAAAATTGCCTCAATCATCATACGAAAACTGCAGATCACGTTCGGGGTATTCATTGAGAGAAACGCAGACAGCGAATAGCTGAGAATTGCAACCCGTTTGAAACAAAAGGACGAATGTAAGTGAAACACTGATGGTCTTTGTCTATTGTACAGAATCACTCTGTCCGTTATCTGTTCTGTGGCCATGATAGCAAGCCTAACGGATGGCTCATTTGAAATCACGAAGTACGCAGTGTGATATATTATCCATTTCAGATCTGTTTGATCAACAGTAAGCACTTCCCCTATGAAGCTATAATTGGCTAGTTGATGAATTACCAACTGTATTCTCAGTGTTCCGTTTACTATTTTCCACACATTTTGTTTAGTGCATGAAACATAAAGTATAGCTCTGCAGTTCTGAACTACTGGTATAATTTAGAAAACATTTTTATGAGTAGAGTTGTTGATTGAAATTCTGTGATTTCATCATGTTTGTCACATGACCCGTGTTGGTCGAATATAAATCATAGTCAGTACCAACTTTCATTTGTGTACTGGACCATAATCTAGGTCACATTGTACGAGATGTTAGCTCAAAGAATAAGGTTTTATTACACATTGTGATGCCTAGCACGAGGGATACATCCCGTAGTTACGTGGACCTACCATTCACTTATGGTAGCCGGTAACATAAGTCTACAAACTTGGAGTGGTGAACCATATAATGGGTTTCCGTAAGATAGCCTATTGAATCGTCGTATTGAGCTAATGCTACCTACTACGAAAGTAGAATAGTGTTGACAGATTTCGAGCAGGTGAACCACAGAGTCAAAAAGATGCCACTTATAGTGACAAGAACCGCTAAACCACCACCACAAACACCACAAACAGCATGCACATGAGTTTATGATATGGAGTAGTCTTAATTTTTGAAATAAGTATGACCACAAAAGGATGTAGGCATGTATGTTTCATCATGGATACGAACTTCTAACTCTTACGTATTTATTTATTCAATATTTTCGGGATTTTTAACTGGTCAGTTGGTTGCAGAAGAATACACGAAATTCTATCACATAGGTACACAGATGAGAGCCACATGGAGTAACTTGCCTGAAGGGATTTAATTTACCGTTTATTGGGTTGTCGGTGCACTTCACGCAAAATGCACACGTGGTCAATTCAAACCGGTACGAAGGCTTCACACAATCACCGAAACAAGCACACATACACACACCGTACCACGCATAAGTTCTGGCGAGCAACCAGGCTTTTTGATTTGGGATTTCACCAAATATATTTGATTTGCAGTTCACAACGGTGCAGACCACTCAAATGTTTATAACCGTGCCTGAGCCGCAATTCAAATTGTGAGTAAATAGAGAGAGGTGACAGCAAATTAAGTTGAACACCAAAAGGGGTGCCAATGGAGAAGGGAAGCGGCCTGGGACGTTGACTTTTTGCACGAATTCATTCAAAAGTGGGATCACTGACACATGCACATACGCACACAGAGAAGGGCACAACCGTAGTAGGAACATTTTATAATTTTTGTTTAATGTAGGAGTTAGATATTCATCACCAATGGTTACCTGTTCAATGGTTCACGTAGATGGTCTCTGTTGAGAGTGAAATCGATAAACTATTTTGAATATCTGTGTTCTTGTCACAGCACAAATTATCTAACATCAAATATATTCAGTTGGACATGTTTTTGGTTAAGCCCAATCGAGTTGAGGGAACTTATCAGCTCTGTGTTCTACTGCCTGTGTCCCTGTGGGGCTCGAACCGTTAAGATCGGGGAGGGGAGGGGGGTGGCGTTGGCGGGAAAACCAAAACCGTTAACCTTGAGCAAAACAGCATGTTTTCAAGGATGCATAAATAACTTAAATAAATGTTTTTGTTCCAGCTATGAGAATTCATGAGCATTCAGGGTTGTAGAGTGATCTCAACAAACAACTGGAATGTGACAACTACCTCTTTTTTTCTCAATTTCCGATCAGTCCTTCTCCAGAGTGCAGAAAACAATATAAGTATGAAGACAAATGATGTCACAAGATGTCGTCATTTGATTTGTGCCTGGTGAATAACTTTCACATATTTGGTCGTTCATTGGACAAAATCAAACAGAAATAAGAATCACAGCAATACGAAAATTTGAGAACTTTCAACAACAGCAACAACAAATAACTTCCGACGTTACAGGCATTTTGATGATAAGCTTGTGTATTTCGCCGTTGCTGTCTTCTGTTGACTCCTCATCCATTCTTAAATGTTCCAACAACAACAACAACAACACCAACAACAAACAACAACAACAACACAAACAACAAAATAACAAAAAACGCAAAAGAACGATAAGCGCCACGCGAATGCAAATTTTTACACCGCTGTAAAAGTAAAACGTCTATTGAACACACTTGTTTGCATTTTCTCAATATAGCCTGCTTCGAAAACATTGCGCATCAAAATGGGTATACGGNGGGGGGGGGGGGGGAGTAGATTTATGATTGCTTGCTTTGTCCATCCGAAATAGGTTGTTCATCATTTGGTGTTTTTTTGAAGTCTACATTCAAGGCCAATCAATGGACATTTCAAAACCCATTTCAATAAAGAACATTCTGCCCTTTGATCTTAACAATTGTCGCTTACAAGATGAGAGCAATGCACCAGTGAAACGAAGTCGTACCCAATTCGAATAGCACTTTGCAACTTCGTCACTGAGTGCGACCTACCTTTGGGGCAAATACACAACGGTGCGAATGAAGTTAAACAGTTTGCTCGGGGGCAGAACTCAACTGAATCGGGTGAGAACTTTCAATTGCTGTTTGTTTTCACGACAGCCTTTCACTGCTATTCACATTCGCACTTTTAGGAGAACGAAGCCATGTTACTTTCACAGTGTAAGGCGAAGAAGAGAAAAGTTCGTGAAATTCCGGCTCCCATTCCAAACTATCGTAAAATCTAGTCTACGTGCCTCGCTGTTACCGGATGATAAATGAATTAAAACAATTATTTAACGACATAAACTTGAACACAGAACACAACACTGCAACAACACTGCAAGCGAGCACGATTTTGCTGAAAAGCAGGGGATTTCGGCGCTTGATTGCTATGGTCTCTACAAATCTCAGCAGTCGTCCATTCGCGGTTGTGTAAATTAGCCAGGTAGAAGTTTCGGGGTAGGCTTGGTGTCCAGTTTGCAGCAGATGACGCCCGGCTTGATGGACTGGTTGTTCGTGTAGCTCTCAATCTGATCCGTTCACGTTCGACCCATGCTGGTTTATGTCCTGCCACTCGGGTTCACAGCTGCCTCTCTGTTCTGTCCACGTAGTTGGCTTCACACCCACATTGAAATTCATAGATTGTGTGATTTGCCGGACAGAGGGAGTTGTGATTTCACCAAGGGCTTCGGAATCTGGGTTGTGGTAAATCAAACGACCGGATTTGCAGCAAAATATGTGCGGGCTACCGAGGCCACTAGCTGTTTTAGAACAAGTTGACCTGCATCGTCGACTTTGAACGGAAGTTGAATGAAAACGTCGCATTTTGGTGCTATCATCCCCCAGGTTTTGGTTTCGACCTGTTCACTGTACCTTTGTATAAACCTCGCTGTGTAACCGTTGATCTTCGGCGTTTCCGTGAGCCGAGTTAGCTCACCCTCCACATTATCCACAGTACAGAACCTCCTAGCTCGATCGAACAGTGTACGCACGAGACCTCGTTTGCATTGGATTGGAGCAAAACTTGCAAAGTGCAAATACTATCCGGTTCACGTGGATTTTTGATGCACGGACCTCGAGGTAGTTNGTTTCGTCTAGTCGTTGCACAATAACAATTTCCAGAAATGGGAGTGTGTTGCTCTGCTCAGTTTCCATAGCGAATTGGACGTCTTTGGGAAATGAGTTCAATTCAGCTACTAGCTCCTTGGTCTCCCTGGCGCTTTGAGTGATTATCAGCGTGTCATAGACGTATCTCCTATTGAGTACAATGCCGTTTTATGTCCTATTAGCATTGTTCTCCAGACTAGCCATGAATATGTCATCTAGAATATGAACCAATGGGCTGCTCATAGCCACACCATCGACTTGTCTAAATCGCCGACCTCGAAAACTGAAGTGTACATCCGTTGTGCATAGAATGAGTAGGCGCTCCAGGACGGAAAGCAGGATGCTAAACTGGATTTGTTTCTCCAACAAGAAGTCACAAATNAAATGATTTGTATGGATTCCACAACGGGCACATTGGTGAACACAGAAACGACATCGAAAGATGTCATATGACAGTTATTTACGTTTAGCTCATCAAAAACCTTTGGAAGTTCGAAACTATCCTTCAGGGAGTACGTTGAAATCAATTTTCTCACCGGCTCCGGTATTTTATCGAGCCACTTGGCCATATTATGTTGTGGAGAAATTCGCATGGACACGATTGAAGAAGTATACCAAATTTAGGGACTTTTGGTGACCCATACATCTGCGGTCTGTGAATACCAAATAATTTAAGTTTTCTGGCCATGGTTTCATTGAAGAAATTTCCTTCCAGGAAAAACTGTATATCTGTTGATTTATTTTTTCCCGAGTTCGCGAGGATCCTGAGACCTTTTCTCTTCAAGCATAAACTTTGATTATTCACTTAGTAAAAAACACATTTTCTTTTCCTATTCGGTCATATCAATGTTCAATGTTCAATGTTCTTCAGTTAGAGGCAGAGGGTAATTTCCCGTATGAGCCTCATCACCACAGACTCGAAGATCTCATTCATGATAGATCTGCATACCACATTGTTCGCAGGACGCTGTCGAGCTTCCTCTTGAACATCTTATCATTGACCTCTTCCACCACGTCAGCTGGAAGGGAGTTCCAAAGATTGGTTACCCTTCGCGATAGCCGGAACCGAAGAGGTAATCCTACGGACGAAAGCTTCAACAGCGTAAGTCCATGTCCACGAGTCCTGGTCTGCTCGCGCAGAGGGAAATACTCCATCAACTCTGGACCCATGTCACCGCGAAGAATACGTCGCACACAGATGATATCACCTCGTACTCGACGATAGGA